ATTGTGCTATACAAATAAACTTGCCTTGCCTATATATATATATATATATATATATTACCAGTTGTTATTGAAACTCATCATTGCAGAAACACAAAAGATGCATTTACTTAAAAGGTCTGTGGGGGGGAGGGCAGACAGATGGGATTTTGGGCAGGGGGAGGGCTTGGCTGTCTTCACCTACTCTAATGAGAGGCTCACATTCACCTAATTTAAAAACCCCTGCTATAAAATATCCAAAAGGTAAATTCACAAATTTCTATTAGTTATTATTATGTCACTGTATTAAACAAAAATACAAAAATGTTCTTACTTTTAGCTGTCCCACATTAAATATTATAGGCCTATACTGTAGAATGTGGTGATGTCAACAGAAGCCCAATAAAACTAGTCCGGACTCATATATATATAGACCTTTTTCTGTATCCTAATATCCTAAAAATACCCCTCTTCTCTCCGCGTACGCTTGTGTCCTTATGTTTACGTGTGCTTAATCCATTAAACCCAGGTCGGCTCTCCCAGGACCCCAGCAGCAGCCTGTCTGATGGCCTCTGCATATTTCATCCTGCCTAAATTATTCAATCGTGAAAACATCTCTCCTCCTCCTTCTCTCTCTCTCCTTCTTTTTCTCATCTCTCTATCTCACTTTCGGTCGCGTCCGTGTGGCAGCATGTGGCTCTGTGACTAAAAGCATGCGGGGTTGGTGTAGTGCTGGTGACCTATCTGCTCAGCCAAGTACAAGGACATGTGTCAGGGAAGAGCTTCTGGGGCGCACGGTAGTTAAACACAAATAGACACGCCGGGTTAGCGATGGTCTGTGCATTAAAAAAAAAAAGATCTGAGACTGTGATTTGAAATAGTCGCAAGAGTTGGGAGACATATTTTGGTTCAACAAAGAATAACAATAACTATTTGCGAATACTTGTGTTTGCTATATACCGTATTTTCCGGGGTATAGGGCGCGCTCTTAAGACTCTAGCCACATCAAAAAACGACCAGAGCGCCCTATACACGAATCCAATCGGGTGTCCCCACACGACTTTAGTAAACTACAAAGCCGCACCACACACAGCGCACGCAAACACACACGGAGCAGACAGTGACCATACGGTGAAAAACACCCGCAGCCACACTCATCACTCCACGCCGACGAGGAACGAAACGGAGGAACGAACCGAAAACGCAAGTGCAATGTGCCACTTCTAGACACGACTGAACAACTGAGTCACTGCGAACACGCCGACAATCCAGCGATCCCAGACAGCACCCTCCCTACACGCCACAACTGAACAAAGCCCAGAGTCACCGTGAACGCGCCAAACAAAGTCCCACTGACCCATCCAACTGTTGTGTTTAGTTTAAAGTCCGGTGCGGTTTATTTGTGAAAAAACTTCAAAAATATAACATTTAATGACAGTGCTTATTCAGTCTTATAATCCAGAGCGCCTAATTGAGTTTGTGTCTGCTGTGCTGTTAGTGTATAATCTATGACACTCAAGCTATTGGATGGATCGACAAAGCCTGGACTTCAGTGACAATCGAAACCATCCTGTCGGGTGTTTGGCGACAGCTAAGCAGAAGAGGAAGCGGCGCTCTGTTTACCTCCGGAGGTCGCGGAGTTGCTCAGAAGTGACACCGAGGATGAAGAATTCAATGGATTTACTGATTTGGAGTGAGATGGAGAGTTTGTTAAACTTGTTCTGTTCTGTTGTTTATGTTATATTTATCTGAAGAACTGTTCATATGTGACGTTAACAGTCTGTTGTTCTCTGTTCTATTGTTTTTACTGTAACTTGCCTTTCAAGATGAAATGTCAGTTCCTTGTCCCTGATTTTACAAAATAAATTTCATCCCAAAAGTGTGACTTATATTTGTTTCTTTTCTTCTTCATTAGGCATTTTTTGGCTGGTACGACTTATAATCAGAAAAATACGGTACATAACAAACATTGCACTGTGATACAGACCCAAACTTAATCTTACAAGTTTTAGTAAAGGTACGGTGGCTTTGTTAAAGTGTTAAATCCACCTGTTTGAATCACCCGCTGTATTGACCATCGGCCCTTCACTTGGAATATGGATACATCTGGAAAAAATGCAAGATAGATCTGTATAATAGTGTCTCTGGTCTCTGATTTTATAATATACATTTCTCCCAAAAAATGCGACTTTTAGTCCAGTGCGACTTATAGTCCAAAAAATACGGTAATTAATTTAAACAATTAATTTTCAAGAGCTGTTCTGTGATCAATGTGAGCATTCAGGATTCTGTTTAGGTGTTTGATTTTCAACAACAAAGATATAGTAAGTGACCAGCTCAAAAATTTGTATCTGGTGACTGTAATTTTTTTTAAAACAAAGCTCAGATTAAAGTCCAACTCGAGTAACAAAGCTTCAGGCAGAGCAGAGCTTCCACTTAGCGCCGCACCCCCAGGGAACGTGCACAGTATCAATGAACGCTTGTGTACCCAGTGTAGCTAAAGTGCAGATATCCTCGTAAGCACCACTCCACCCAAGCCCTACTCCAAACACAATGACACTCGCGGGCACTCGTCGATGGCTCTGATCTTCCTAAGCGCGTCTTTTCTTGCTCTGAACCTGAAAAATACATGAGGAGCCGCGGATCAATCGGTGCAGTTCGATAGCACTCAGGCCGGTGTCACGCTCAAACGGGCCCCCGGGTCACTTCGCCGCTGAGAGAAAGGTTCTGCTCTGCGCTGGAGAGACGAGGCTGTCACTGCCGGGTCAATGCTAATGAATATTTGATAGATGTGATCATGCGGTGTAAAAGACTTTGTGGGTTTAATTTAATTTGCGGGAGTTTTTGCGATAGCTGCTCCTTCAATCTACCCATCTATCTCGGAAATAAATGCACTGTGTAACCGGCTTTTCTCCATGGAAGTGTCACGCTCTGCCTTGAATGTTTCACAATAAAGCGTTCAATTTATCTATTGTCATGGAGACTAGCAGATTATGCACAAGGCAAGGTTACAGGTGAGATCTGAAGAAAGGTGAGCCTACTCGAGTAATAAAATAACAAAACAAAAAAAAGTGGCCGTATGCTGCAGATGTTCCAATCAGTGGGAGCAAGTAGAGGATGATCTTGGAAAAAGGATCAAAACTTTTAAAACAATGGAATCCAGTCACTCCTAAGAAGTAAAAATGACACGAGGAAAAATATAGTTAAAAGGCTTTTATTCAGATGGCCAAAGCCAACATGTTTCATCTAGTTTGGTTGAAACATGTTGGCTTTGGCCTTTTAACTATATTTTTCCTCGTGCGATTTTTACTACTTATGAGTCCCTGGATTCCATTGTGATAAAAATAAAATAACATAATTTAAGTAATGAGCCCTGCACCAGAAAAAAGTTTCATCTAGGTCACAGGTGTCAAACATGCGGCCCAGGGGCCAGATCCGGCCCTCCAAGACCTTTAATCTGGCCCTCGGCTGATTTTCTACTAAAATATTTAAATTCTATTTTTTATTAAAATACTGTTAATTTTCTGTGGTGTTTATCATAGCAGCGTCTCCAGCGTCTGTACGTGGCCCCTCCCACCAGAGCAGCACAAATGAAGACTTGTCTCTTTCCAAACGCTCTTAAAGGACGATCGTTTTGACTGTTGACCGTGACACCCTCATCAACAAAATGTCCAACATGAGAAAAGTGGAGCCGAGTGCAGAATTTTCCAAACAAGTTCATGTTAAAACATTGTGTTGAAATTGTATTTTTCTTAAAGTTGCAGGTTGTTCATAATATTATAATAAGAAAGAGTTCATCAGTTAAAAAACATTTCTGTAATAGATTTGTTTCTCTGCACAAATATTTGAACTTATTGTTATTTTTGGGGTTTATATGACATGAGTTTTCTGATCCGGCCCCTTTGGGATCAAAGTCGGTTGGATACGGCCCCCCAACCAAAATGAGTTTGACACCCCTGATCTAGGTGAAAATTAGGGAAGGGGCATTCGATTAAATTTTCTTAATCGATCGTTGGGAATATTAAGAATAAATTTTCTATTAATCATTAACGTTTTTAAAATTATCATTATTATTATTACTATGACTAATCTGCATAAATAAACTCAACTTTACAACATATAAACCAAAACCACTCTAGAGCCACATCAGCCTGTTTGAGATTAATGCAGCTTTGACACATTTGTTTACGTTTTACACAAACGAAACTTAAAACCACATGACTCATTTACATAAACTATAAGTGCTGAATTAAAACAGCTCGCTCCTTGTGTCCTGATGTGGTTCAGCTTCTGTTGGACTAAAGGACACAACTCGGTGGAATATGAGTGTTCTTTCTGTGACAGAGGGATGTTGATGATGATGATGGTGAGTCTGTTCTGTGTGTGTGTTGTGTTGGAGATGGTTCATGTTTTCAGAGATCAGACGTGTGCAGGTTTAGTGTAGCTCTTTATTTACCACTCATTTCACTCACTTTATTTATGTTGGTCACTTTATTTATTTTAACTTCTGTTGTGATGCAAAGATTGAAAAGTGTTTGTCTACTGGAAGCATGTGCACTCAACTTTATGTTGTGGTAACCGGGATACTGTGTTTACATGCACCATGATGAAACCGAGATGCTCAAAACCCCGATCACACCCCGGGACACTGAGGTGCATGTAAACACACTCATACAGTGATCTCCAAGGAGCCAGAGCCCAAATGTGACACTGTGAGGCACAACTCCAGTGTTTATGCTGGCAGCCTCGTCTCCTTACGCTACACACAGCAACCTACATTTGGTTTGTCGATTAAAAATGAACGCGATAGACGAAATTCTTATTGATCAATTATCGATTAGTCGACTAATCATGCACATCACTAGTGAAAATTAATATGAAATTCATGTAACTAACAAGTCAACTCATCAATGTATGTAAACATAAAAAAACTAAATACATAGAAAGCTGACTGAGACTACATATAGGAGCGAACTATTCACCATAATCCATACCATTAAACCCAATGTTAACAGCTGATTTACCTTTGGCAGAGCGTACTTGGGAAACCTCATCTGGACAAACTCATTGCGCCGATATGAGACGTAGTGCTTGGTCCGATTCCCTGTGGTCACCTGGGAAGAAAACACACAACAGAATGGTTAATAGAGAAAGTACAGAGCAGTGACCCATGTTTTAAAAGTCACAAACCTTCAAGACCCAAGTCAATAGACATTATTCATAAATCACAAACTAAACATTAATGAGGATATTTTATTGTTGACTGAGTGATCGTGTCTCTCTGTTTTTCATTGTTTAAAACTTGAGTAATACTAATTGTTCAGTCATTGAAGCAGCAATAAAAGGATCTATAAGTTGCCTATTTGGACATTAAATATAGCCCATTTCTTTTTCTTTTCAACATTCAATTGAACCAGCAATGTTGGAACTAAATAATTACTACCTCTTTCATATGTCAAAGCTGTATGTTGCAGATCGTGACAAGGCGACCCAAAAAACCCGCCTGATTGTCGCAACCCAGTCTTAGGGAAACAATGGTATAGAGGATACGTTGTAAAGAACAGAATTTGACAGCAAAACATGTTTAGAATGAGTCTGGTTATGATTTATGGAATAAAGAGCAGAACTAAGTAACTAAGGTATGATCTCCATGTGGAAAACCAGCCTTGCCGTATGTATACAATATACATTGCAATAGCTGGACATGACCTAAAACCTGGGTTCTTTTTTATATTTGGCGATGTTTAAAAAAAAAAGAGAGAAGAAACTCAAACAGAAAACAAAAACAGCACTTTTGAGTCTCTTCCCTGACAGTATATCCCCATAAGGAAGCTGCAGGGGGAGCTCTACTGCTGAACGTTATGTCGGCTCATTCTGAATTTGTCAAAATGGCCACGAATTTCCTAACTCCTTAAAAGAAAAAAAAACGAACTGTCCCAATAGTGTACTGAGTTAGGAAGGAGCCTGTATGCTTATTTCCATAGTTTCTTTAGCATAGGAACCACAGGAGCTTCCTAAACAGCGGGATGGATCTACGAGGGATCCCACAATACGGTGCATTTTCCCCAAAGGTTTCTGAACACGGTCGATCTCTGCACCAAGAGTTTGTAATGCAGTAAAAGTTTCCTTGCCTCAGACACTACACAATACAACTATCTGGAGAAACATAACTTTATATAAGTACGAAAACAAAAGCTTTTAAGGACATCGCTGCTTTACACGATTTATCTGTAGTTTAGATAATGACAAAAGGAAAGATCTGTGCTTTTGTTTACAATTATAGGTTGGTTAGGATGTTGGGATTTTTCAAACACAGTTGAAGCTCCAAGCTCTGGGTAGTTCCAAAAGTTAAGAAGGGAGCTATGAAAATAATAATATTAGTTAATTATAGCGGCTAAAATATTTATTAAAAATGTGGGGGGAAAAGGGAGAAAGAGAAAAGGAAATTACATTATAAATTGGCCAAAATATCAATAAAAGGAGGTCTAGCAGTGTGGTTATGCTGCACTACATCATTACTTTTGTTTTATTTAATTAAATTTGTGTCTGTGTTTGGGGGGTGTTGTTGTTTTTGCATTTGTTGTAGGTGTTGCTCTATGTTTTTGTGTTTTTTTTATGTTGATTGTTCTATTTTGTTAAATGTTATATTCTGTTGTCTTTAATTAAAAAAAAAAAGGGGGAGCGATGAACTTAACTATTTGGAACGAACCTTACTCCTGATTTAAAGGGACAGTTTGGAATTTTGGACATAGGACCTCATTTCCCCGTGAGCCAGAGTGTTGGAGACGTGTGGAGGCACTTTTTTAAATATTCCATCCAGTCCTTGTATTTGTAGAAGTCGCTGGTGCTAGACTAGTGCATGCCAATGGCCACAGTTATCCTGCCACTAAAAACACTCTTGCTCACTCCAGAAAACACCCGAAGCAAATCTATTATTACACCAGACTGTCAATATAAATGTCTGTGTTAATAGAATAATGTTTGAAATAAAACTAACCTTGCGTCGCATGAATCGTCGCATATTGAGGGACTATTTTCTCATATATCAGTCCACCGATGCCGAGCTTTCGATCAGAAAGTCCAACTCACTGCTGCTGCTCAGACATAAATCCTTCAAATGCAAGGTTGGTTTTATTTCTAAAATTATTCTATCGACACAGACATTTACATCGTTACAATTGTTTTGCTTCTGGTGTTTTGTGGAGTGGGTAAGACTGTTTTTTGTGGCAGGCTAACTATGGCCATTAACATGCACTAGCCTAGCACCAGTGACTTCTGCAAATACAAGGACTGGATGGAATATTTTAAAAGTGTCTCCACACGTCTCCAACACTCTGGCTCACTAGGAAATGAGGTCCTATGTCCAAAATTCCTGAATTGTCCCTTTAAAAACAGTGCAGGAGACCTTTTAATTTTACCTGTGATGCAACAATCCTGGTAAATAAAAAAAAATTAAAAAAAGGTGTTTTAGAGTTTTTAGAAGGACTTGAGTGACCAGATTCTAAACGCAACTTCTCAAAACAACACAAGGGTATGTTTTTGACGAAGGAACTTTGTTATAACATGGCTAAAACCTCCGAAAATGTCATCTTTGTATGTCCTTTAATACACTACACAAACAGCTACACACAACAAGTCAAGTTTGCAGCAAAAAAAAGTTGCAGAAAGGCATTTTTGACAAGTCCATTTCAAATAGAGTGTTCTTGGGAACATGCACTTTCCCTCTGGTGGCATTAAGGGCACCTCGCCATCTGCCTCTGACTCACTGCGCTCCGCAAAGGTCAAAACTCAGCTGTGAATAAATCAAACGTGCCCCGCTCTCCCAGTGAACAGAACTCTGGGTAAAAAAGCCTGAGTCACTGAAGACCTTACGCAGAGTGAGTGACAGCCAATCACACGCAAGCTCCGCCGCTGACAGCCAATCAAACCGTCCAAATCCCCCCGACGCTCCCGCCTCCCCCACGGCGCGCTCCCGTCGCCACTTCGGGGGCTCAGAATTCCGTCTTATTTCATTGCGTTTTAATGGGGAACTTTTCAGCAGCTATTCGTGGACTTCTATGGAGACCTTTCAGCTGTTCAGATCTGTAAAGTCAGCGAGAGGATTGAGATGTGATTCGAGGCAGTAGATAGATAGCAGCAGTTTTAGAGCTGAAAAAAGGTAGATGAAAAAAAAAAAAAAAAAAAGATGAGAGGGTTTGATGTAACGGAGATCCCTGAAGGCAGCACTATGTTTTCAAAAGAATAAGAGAGCTCTATCTGACGGGGCATATTTCTCTAAAGACGTTTTGATAGCACTTTTTAGAATGTGATGAGTAGCCCGCAATATGTTTACAAACGCAAGCATAAATCAAAAATTGTGCATCGAACAATATGATCTGGCAGAGAGAAAAGTTATGCCTATGTGGGCGTGTAGTCAGTGGGTAGGCATAAAGAACATTACTTTTGCTTTGGCATTTCATGTTTTAGAACTTAAAATGTGGCTGTCTTCATAAAACAGACAATTTTCTACAGATGCACTCTCGATACTGGGAGCTACTGACACCAGAGAGAATTACAACTGAAGAAATAAACAAGAATTACCTTTTTCTGACATGCTAATAGAAGCACACAGCACACAAAAAGTAAATAATTTAGTAGCAGAAGTGCTTAGAATGAGTCTGGCAATGATTTATGGACATCAGACTTTTATCTGTGATGTAACAATCCTGGGAAATTCAATGTTGTGTGTTTATGAGTGATTTGAGAGAGGAGACATTCTGGATTTTTTAATCTAGATTCATTAAAAAATGGAAGGGAACAATGTGAACAGTCAAAGTAAAGATACATGAGAACACTTGTGGGTAAAAACGACAAAATATTTTATTTTTATTATATTTATTTAGACAGTGATGTTGTTTTTGGGGCCTAAAAATGCAAAAATCTAAAACCACCGTCCAGAGTGAAAAAGTTGAATACGCTCCACTGTAGCGTTTCCGTCTACACTGCCCAAGACGCAAAACTCTGGTCAGATTTGCTCACGTCGCGTACGTATTTACGTCACATACATCACCACCTGGCGTCACCACCTAGCTGCCTGGCATGCATACACAATCCAATTCCACACACTTTTGCGTCACCGTATGAACGCAGACTTCCTCACAAAAACGCTCGTCTAAACCTGGAATAAAAAGTGAAGACGCAGCACCTCTTTTGTATCTTCTGTTCAGATCGTCATCATATAAACATAGCCTAAGTTTAGCATAACATATGTCCTTTAAGTTACAAATGTTACAAACTCTTCTACAACAATCGACTTTAGTAGAACTGTTTTCTGAGCGCTTAGTTTATACTAATTAGCGATGCGGTTATAAGTTTCATTTCTGTAAAACATAAACAAATGTGCTCAAAGTTGTGTGGATAGGGAAGGATCGCGGACACAGAAACGACATGTCTGGAGGCAAATCATTTCCCATACGGTGATACGGTGATACGGTGATTCAATTCAGTGTAAACGTAGTCTCGGGGTGGGGGCTCCATCTCCAATCCAAAATGTTCACCCAGTTGACTAAAGATGATGTCTTCAGACAGATGGATGGACGAGAGACATGAGGTGGGAGGGAAGGGATCAAGAGAGCAGATGTGGACGGTGTTGTCCGGATGGTGGCATAAATAGGGCTTCTGGGTAATTGAAGGTGTGACTGAGATAAGCCGTGGTTGGCTGGAGAGAAGGTTGAGGTGTGGTCCAACTCCTGAATTTCAATTAATCATATTAACTCCACTTTTGAGTACAGAATTCAAACCACTAACCTTCATATCAGTGGACAAACCCTCTACCAACTAAGCTATAGTCGCTCCTACCACAAAGCACATCTTAGTCATCAGATAAAGTTTTCCAGATACTTTTGGATGTGTCATTTTAAAAGAAAAAGACGCTAAATTGATGAGACAATCACATTAAGACAGGACTGCTGTGTTTTCTCTGCTGAGTGAGCCACCAAGACACATCACACGACAATAGCTTTCTGTCGCCAATCAGACTTCTGTCTAGAGGCAACTTAGCTGACATAATATGAACAGTCTAATTATACTGACACATATGCAGCTCTATATGAATAACGCAGTCATGTTATGGTAAAATAAGGATTATGATGGAGGCGGCAGACACAAGCTCAGAATTTTCCCTCCTCTAATGAGCAGATATTTTCTGTGGAAAATTCATAATAAGCTACGTGAGTTATTTGAGATATTACAGGCCCCAACAGTGACAGCTTAGTTATTATCTGTTGTCTCATAAGAGGCTATATTAATGAAACGTATTGCCTGTTAAAGTGAAAAATGTGTAGGTAGCTCACAATTGGCACCATATTTCCCAGGAAGGAGACAAAACAAAAGAATACTGCTGAAACAAAAACTTATGAAAAGTTAGCCACATAAAATGTTTTGGGTAGTCTTGAAGAAAGTGGCAACATACAAAAAATAAGAGATAGGGAATTGTTTTTTGTAGCCAATGTATGCTTTAGAGTAGAGACATTTTAGCTCAGAGTTTACCACAGAAAATTAATCAGCTAAATGCTAAATAACCCCTCTTTGGCAGTAAACGCAGTTATCAGTTGCCAAAACCGGCTCAACTATCCATCATTCGTGTAATTTTTAACGTAATGCTAATTCCTCAACTAAAAGAAGCGTGTGGTCATCTTTGTACTCACCTTGACAAAGATGTAGCTGTCCTGCACGAGGAGCGAGTTGTGGTCGATTTTCCCCAAAAACTGAGCGGTCACCATTTTGTCTGAGCAGTTCTGGATCAGGCAGGTCACGTACAGGTACCCTACAGGGACAAAAACACAAGACAAATGTTGAGATGCATGTGTGCAACATTTGTTTTTTGACGGCTATTGGTTTAAAAAAATGTAAAAATGTAGGTGCATTATGTTCCTGGTGGAGAGAATGCCACAAGAATGTTTTGTTGGCTCTCAGGCCTCCTGCTGACTAGACCCAGTACTTCAAATTTCAGTATTTCTATGACTATAACCTACCATATTTTTCAGATTATAAGTCGCAATTTTTTTCATGGTTCGGGTGGTCCTGTGACTTTTACTCCAGTGCCGACTTAAATATTACATTTTTCAGACTGACAGCTGCCAGAGAGCGCTTGAGGCTTGTGTATCAGTTTTCCGCGCATGTCTCCTGCAGAAAAAGCCACTGTCCTGCTGCAAGTAGTGAAATACGCAGCAGACAACGGTAATCGAGCAGCAGAAAGAAAGACTGGAGTGAGCGAGAAACTTGTGAGGGACTGGCGCAAAGTGAGGATGGAGAACACAGTTTCACGGTAACCAGGAGGGTGCACCCATGCAACTTTCCTGGAAGTCACTGGATGGATGGACAAAGCCTGGACTTCAGTGACAACCAAAAACATCCTGTCGGGATTCAGAAAGGCCGGAATAGTTCTAATGATGCTGAGTCTGATCGCAGCTACGCAGAAGAAGAAGCGGCGCTCTGTTTACCTCTGGAGGTCACGGAGTTGCTCAGAAGTGACACCGAGGATGAAGAATTGAATGGATTTAGTGATTTGGAGTGAGATGGATGGTTTGGTAAACTTGTTCTGTTGTTTATGTTATAGTTATCTGAAGAACTGTTGTGACATTAACATACCAGATGCATATTCAGCCTGTTGTTCTCTGTTCTATTGTTATTACTATAACTTGCCTTTCAAGATGAAATGTCGGTTCCCTTGTCCCTGATTTTACAAAATAAATTTCCCCCAAAAAGTGCGACTTATATGTTTTTTTCTTCTTGATGGTGCAACTTATAGTCAGAGAAATACGGTACATAACAAACATTGCACTGTGATAGAGACCCAAACTTAATGTTACCAGTTTTATTAAAGGTACGGTGGCTTTGTCAAAGCTGTGTTAAATCCACCTGTTTGAATCACCCGCTGAATTGACCATCGGCCCTTCGCTTGTTTTAAATTGCGGCCCTTGATGAAGAAATTTTGGATACCTCTGGAATAAACGCAAGACAGATCTGTATAATGCTATGGAACATTCAAGGCAAATCAATAACATCTCCGTAAGACTAGGAGGAAGCACACCAGAGTGTAGTGGACATAGGCTACACTTTAAAAGCAGCTATAAAATAAACGATAGACCTGAACTATTTTTGCATTTTAAGATAACAAGATATTTTTTGGTGTGTTTAATGTTTTTAGCACCAAACACCAAACTAAAAGAACATTTTTACAGCCACGCTACACTGTTAAAAACTGCATTGTAACCTATATAGTGATAACTGCAGAAACAAGATGTGTTATAAAAATAGACTCCAGCCGATGCGTTTGGGTGAAGAGGTGAAACAACGTTGACAGAGAGATGGCACAATACCGGCCGGATAGAGTGAACGTGTAGGTGGATAATCTTCAAAGTTAAAGGTGAGTCAACAAAGTGCTCCCGTATCCCATTTCCCCTGAACGCAGCATCAGCAGGCAGAGTACAGAGGTGACGGAGCACCACAGAGAGCGCTCCCATGTCCAATCTCCCCTGAACGCAGCATCAGCAGACAGTATACACAGATCTCCCATGAGGTGACAGAGAAAGAGCTATGGACTTTGAGTGACCTTTTAGTGAACATGTTTTATAGACTGAAGCAGGCTGTGGTCACTCCAGTGTTATGACATCACACTTACACTAACCAGGTGTAAAAATATGTTACCAACAAATATCTATCAGCTATGTGAATGTTGAAATGTTCTGATCTATGTTATAATATTATTCCCTCATCACAAACACACCCAGAGTTGTGTTTTGTTTCATTCACATGTCTTTAATTAACAAACAAAGCTGAGTTCTTCTCTCAAACGGAAAATACTCTACTCCACCTTGTGATGTAATGTGTCAAATATGTTTTTAAACAACCATATTTTTCAGACTATAAGGCACAATATCAATAATGTTGAATTCTCTCGTCTATTTTCATACATAAGGCGCACCGGATTATAAGGCACATTAAGTGAAACAAATGGACGACACTGGAGACTGATCCTTTAGCCCAGACGTCCACAATCTATTGGCAGATCGTGGCGTAATTCGTCCGGCGTTGCCTCCCTGTCATGTAAGTTTGGTTTCATGAGGAGGACTCAAATATACATTGAGTAATAATGTGTTTAATGCAGCTTTGCACACATTTGTTTACAAAAACAAAACTAAAAACCACATGGCTCATTTGCATAAACTATAAGCGCTGAAAAAACAGCTCGCTCCTGGTGCGTTGATGTCGTTCAGCTTCTGTCGGACTCCGCGAGGCTCCTGATTACAGTAGCCGTAATGCTCAGACAATCCATCAAGCAGTGCGTCTTCGTAGATTACTAAAGTCGTACTAAAACATTTTGACAGATTTTTGAGTGCCGTGTACCACATAAAATCAGTTCGAGGTCAGCAAGCACAACCAGAAATAATACATAAGGCGCACCAAATTGCAATTTTTGAGAAAATGTAAAGATTTTATAGTCCGATAAATATGGTACATAAACTTTCAAAAGGATCATCTGGATAATTTCAACTCTTGAACTGGCTGGTCTCTACTGAACAAAAACTAAAACGTGGCTTTTAACTTTAAAACTACAACTTCATGACACGATAAGGTGAAAGAGAACATTTTGAGCTTTAGAGATTTCGACAGACTAATAATAAAGAGCTACTCAAACACGCGTGAATGAAACAAAACACAACTCCAGGAATGTTTTTAAGTACAGAGCGTGGGTGTATACCAGTGGTGAAAACAGCAGTAGATCAGAGCAATGAGATCTCAAATAGAGGAGAATAAAGATTACACAAACATGCACGAATCACTCTAAATACAACTGAGCGGATAAATGAGAATGGAAAACGACACGGTTAAAAGCTCTGAATATGTGTGCTTTAAAAGGGTTCTGGGAAAGGTACAGAGTAATCCAACAAAATGAAGAAACTAATTAAAGTTATATTTTAAGGTCGTGTTGTGCTAAACAATTTCAGGATTGAAAGTTAGAAGAACAATAATTACCACTTCTTATTTGTCTTTTTTTACAACATCCCTTGTTTACTGGTTTCCTTACTCCTCGCACTTCTGTAGTTGTCTTTTCGAACAAATGTGCTGATTCAATTACACCAAACCTCTACCATTTAATCAAAGCAACACGCGGCGAGCCTCATTAAAAGACTATTAGATTAGACTAAGTGTTCTCTCGCTTTCTTTCCACCTCTCCTTTCCTCAGCCATACATCACGTACCCTCCTCCACCTGTGCCGGCGTTCTGTTATGACGAGAGCGATAATCAATAATGCATCATCATTTCTCTGTTGAAATCAGTTTGGTGGGACGTGTTGTTTTTGACGATTTGCATGTTGCGAATAAGTCTGCAGCCGGCGACATCAATCTTTCTAATGTAGCCTCCCCGAAGTCTGGCTGCCTGTCCGGGTCATCCATCACGGACCACCCCCCCCCGTGCGTCTGGAGCCCGTCTTCTGAACGCCGCCGCCCTCCCCCTCCCCTTCATCCTCCCGCTCCGTCTCCGTAGACCGTGAGTGTTGTGTCCGGAGAAGTGGCATGTGTTAACCCAGGGGTGAGGCGGTGCCAAGGGGAGCCGCGGAGAACAGGTTGGGTGGGTATGCCTGGCTGAGCACTCGGTTTGAGAAGGGCGGGTGGCATAATTCACTAAGAACCAGTCACGACGAACAACACGTCACTCATTTGAATGTATTTAGTGAAAAAAACGCCGTCTAAACTTAAAAATGGGGCAATGGACAGGCGCCTGATTTTACTTAACTGGAAAAGCATAAAACCCCCTACCCATCAAAATCTTCAGAGAGACATAATGCAACATTTACAATTGGAAAAAAATTAATTTTCACTGACAAATAAACAAGAACTTTTTTACACAACATGGCAACCTTTTATTGACCATTTTAATCGTAAGTAAATATAGAGACAGCCCTATAATGTCAGTGTATGTGTATTTATAGGTTGCTCTTGTTATTGTATGTGTATTGTTTATATATGTACACATGTATATTTTCTATGCAGGTGTTTTGTTTTGTTCTTTTATTTTTCTAATTTTATATATCTTAATCTCAAAATATTCTGTCTCTGAATAGTTCAAATGTAAAAACTGTGAAATATGTTGTTGGAGACAATGTTATGCATATTTTGTATATCCTAAAAAACTATAATAAAACAAAAAAAAAAATGGGGCAACGGAGAGAGTGAAGTTAAGTGGAGCATGACTCTGTGTATCATTCTTTTTTCCGAATAAAACTAAAAATAAGAAAATGAAAAAACAACAGTTTTCTTCATTATTTGTCTCCAAAACCAAAAATGAAAAAAAAAAACAGACTAAAATAAACCAGGTTTGTTTTTTTAAACCAGGTTTTCAATTTTGACTAAACCAGGTTCTAAAAAACTAAACCAGGAAAAAAACCAGGACTACTAAACCAGGTAAACCAGGACTTCTAAACCAGGTCTCTAAACCAGGACTGAACCAGGACTCTAAAACTCTAGGACTAAACCAGGACTAAACCAGGAACCAGGACTAAACCAGGTCTAAACCAGGACTGAACCAGGACTAAACCAGGTAAACCAGGTCTAAACCAGGAAAACCAGGAGGTCTAAACCAGGACTCTAAACCAGGACTGAACCAGGACTAAACCAGGACTAAACCAGGAGGTCTAAACCAGGACTCTAAACCAGGACTGACTAAACCAGGTCTAAACCAGGTCTAAACCAGGACTGAACCAGGACTAAAACCAGGACTAAACCAGGTCTAAACCAGGACTGACTAAACCAGGAAAGGACT